TGCAGATTCAATTCAGCTCTGTATTCATATTATTTCTGGAAAGTGAGAGAATCTTGTGGAACATTCCTGTCTCATCTTCAGCTGTGCTGTGCGGAATGAAGGAGACTCTTGTCCCACTCTTGTAATGGAGAGAGATAGAGAATAGCACTTGCTAGAGCCACCATGGTGATGGTGATAGCACTTAGGAAAAGATCACCTGGGGAAGGAGAATTTTGAAGACAGAGTTAATTAGGGTTATGAGTCTGGCAGTCCTTCCCTCTGACGGTGGGGTATCTCCCTCCATTGCCCTCTTTGGAGGATCATGGTGGTGTTTTGTTTTGTTTTTTGTTTTTGTTTTTGAGGAAGCTGGTGAATTTCTTTACAGATGGTAATGGCACTGAGGTTCTGGCTACTTTGGCTTAGGAGGAGCTCTAGGGCTCTTGTAGGGGAAGTGGAGGGTCTGGGGACTCCTGCAGAGACCAGTGCCTGTGGACTTAAGAGATCCTTGGATTTAGGCATGGGGAAGAAGTATGGCCAGAAATACAGGCTCTAGAGAGCAAAGTGATTCTGGTCACACTTGAAATGAGAGACAGCATTCTTCTCGCTTCTAGGTCTGAGAACATTTCCTAGTAGACAGCATCTGTCCAAACCCCCTGGGAGGGGAACATGGGACAGGTACGAGACACCCTACAGAAAGGGCAGGCGAGGTTGGCAGCAGAGGTCCCAAATGGAGGGGGGAGACTAGCTCCTTGAGAAGGTGGTCAGGTCATGGGTCTTCGGGTAGAAGAGGCCAGCTCCTGGGAGTGCTTTTGATGCCCTACTGCATGCACAGTTGTCCGGGTCACTGGAGTCACTGGGATCCCCACAGGAAAGTATGTCAGTGCAATGGCACAGCCTTGGGAAGGCAAGCCTGCTGAACAAAGCTGCCCAACGCTCCTCCATAGATGACTGCCTCAATCTAAAGGTGGGATTCTGCTGCCTGGAATTCCACCAGAATATAAAACACCCTTTCTAGAAATGCAAACCAAAACCTATGATCTAAAAGACAAAAAACAAGTATTGATGAAGGTGTGGAGAAAACAGAACCTTTGTACACTGTTGGTGGGAATGTAAATTGGTAGAGCCACTATAAGAAGCCATGTAGGTTCCTCAAAATATTAAAAATAGAACCACCGGGGCGCCTGGGTGGCTCAGTCGGTTAAGCGGCTGCCTTCGGCTCAGGTCATGATCCCAGGGTCCTGGGATCGAGCCCCGCATCGGGCTCCCTGCTCGGCAGGGAGCCTGCTTCTCCCTCTCCCTCTGCCTGCCTCTCTGCCTACTTGTTCTCTCTATCTGTCAAATAAATGAACAAAATCTTTAAAAAAAAAAAAAAAATAGAACCACCATAGGATCTGGCAAATCCACTTTAGGATATAGATTCAAAGGAAATGAAATCACATCCTCAAAGGGAATCTGCACTCCCATGTTATTGCAGTTACTTACAATAGCCAAGACATGTAAACAACCAAAGTGTCCATCGATGGATGGATGAAGAAAACATGGTGTACGTATATACAGTGGAATATTATTCAGCCATAAAAAGAAGGTAATCCTGTCGTTTGCAACAACAAGGATGGACCTTGAAATCATTATGCTAAGTGAAATAAGTCACAGAGAGAAAGCCAAGTGCTATATGATCTCACTTGTCTGTGGAATCTGAAAGAACTGAACTCATAGAAACAGAGAGCAGATTGGTGGTTACCAGAAGTAGGGGTTAGGGGTTGGGGGAAATGTGTGAGGGTGGTCAAAAGGTACAGACTTCCAGTTATAAGATAAATAAATTCTGGGAATGTAATGTACAGCCTTGTGATTGTAGTTAACAATACTATACTGTTTATTTGAAAGTTGCTAAGAGAGTAGATCTTAAAAGTTCTCATCACAAGAAACAAATCTTGTAACTATGTGAAGGGATGGATGTTAACTAAACCTATTGTGATGACCATTTCTCAGTATATACATATATCAAATCATTATGTTGTACACCTTAAACTAATACCATGGTTATATGTCATTATATCTCAATAAATCTAGGACCAAAAATTAAAAAATAATAAGTAAAGGTGTAAGGTTTTCTAAACATTAAAAAATATATATTCTTTTCTAGAACTAGGATGAGTAGGGTGAAAGTTGGCAACAGAAGTCCTAAGAAAGTATGGGCACATCACCAGCCCCGATTTTATCTTCTTGGCAAAATTGTTAGTTTGGAAGGCTTGGTGGGTTAGGAGCTATGTTAACAGTCCCTCCCCAAGATGTGCAGAAGGGACAGATAATGTTGGTGGTATTTCATGCTGGGTAGAGCTACTGAGTGGGGTCTTAGTTAACACTGCTGGAAGGCTCAGATACTTTTTTTTTTTTTTAAGATTTTATTTTTTTATCTGACAGACAGCGAGAGAGGGAACACAAGCAGAGGGAGTGGGAGAGTGAGAAGCAGGCTTCCCGCTGAGCAGGGAGCCCGATGCGGGGCTCAATCCCAGGACCCTGGGATCATGACCTGAGCCGAAGGCAGATGCTTAACGACTGAGCCATCCAGGTGCCCCGGCTCAGATACATTTTGAGCAACAAATTGCCCTTCCAGAAGGCTCCTCTTTTTCCAGCACAAACAGAAAGGGGTCCCAATGAGGTCCCCTTCCCTTCCCCAAATGGAGAGCTTAGAATTTCCTGATACAATTGCATCTGAAGGAGAGAGGGTTGGTATCTGGTGGCCCATGAACTTTCTTGATTGCCACAGAGACTATGATAACGCTCGAGCTTTGGCGGTGGTGATAGGCTATTGAGTTGCGGCTGAATCCAACTCCATTAACTGCAATTGGATTTCCTGCCACCTGAGGACACTGTTGGAGAAGAGAAAGTGGTGGGAGCGTTGACGATCAAGGCTGCTCAGAAATTGGCTAGCACAATTTAAAGTGCGGTCAGGCAAAGGAGGCAGAAATTTGCATGTTTTCTCAAACAAAGGAGTTAAAATGAGTAATGGGAGGTAGTTCTGACACAGGCAAGTCGGAGGTGGAACCTGCCTTGGGACAACGTCACAGTATATATCTTTGTCTGGGGATGAGCTGATTAAGGGCGAGAGCCAAATCCTGAACACACCTGCAAGATGGAGAGTGGAAGGGCTTGCTCCTCATCCCCAGCTCCCATCTGACAGAAGGACTAGATTGTTCAGTGGTGAGTGCCTGCGTCCTTGCCCAAGTAGGGGAAATATCAGTCTGAGAGGACATGAGTGACCCCGGCAGCAGGGTCTGGCTCTTGGCCAAGGGGCTGGCAGGTTGGGGGCGACCCAAGTGGAGCAGGAGCTCAGGGAAAACATCAGTTAGACGAACGGGTCCCACGTGGAGGGGAAGGGTGTGCTGGGGCCCATGGCGGGGATTGAATCTACTTTAAAGGCACTGACACAGAGAATATTTCTTCTGGATTTTAAGTCTTCAGTGAAGAGTGAGCAAACGAGTATGGAACGAGTAGAGACACAGATCCAGCAAACAAGTGTTAGTTTTTGTTGTGACTGTTATTACTGTTTCCCTTGAGTAGCACCTTAAAAGAAGCGATCTGTGTGACATCTGTGAATTCAGAGGCTCCCGCGAATCAGCCCAGAGTCCTGAGGCTACAGTAGAAGCCATTCCAAATAGAAATTCTAGTCTTTATTCACTTCACTCATGGTCCTCAAGAACTCATGTTAACTTTTCTTTGGACGTCATCTTCTCTCCTCTTCCCCAGCACTCCCAAACTTCTAAGAGTATCTTGCCTTCCCAGGCCAGAAGATCTCCCTCCCTTATCCATCTGCCCTGGCTCACTGCTACCTCCTTCCCCTGCCACAGCCACCCGAGGAGTGTGATGTCTTCAACTGGGTTGCCTTTCCCTTCCTCTTCTCCTCCGAGTCTCTCTGGTTCAGAGTCTCTTGGCCTCATATGTGTATCCCAGAAGTCTAGAAACACTTCTGACTTGGTCCAGAGTCTCCACAGACAGCAGGAAAGGGGGGAAGGGGAGGATAGGGACAGGTTTAGTGAACAATTTCTATAGAGCCATTTTCCCAACTGATTAGTTCTTCTTAAGAAACAAAAAAAGAAACAAATTTTAAATTTATTCCTTATCGGTTCATTCACACAAACGGCCTGAGGTCTTTGGTGAGATAACACACACCCGTGGAGGAATGTACGCTTGTATAGGTATATTTACTCTTTAAAAAATTTTTAACTCCAGTATGGTTAACATACAGTATTATATTAGTTTCAGGTGCACAGTATAATGATTCCACAATTCTATATATTACTCAATGCTCATCATAAGTGTTCTCTAAATCCTTCACCTATTTCACTCTGGACATTTACTCTTTTTTTTAAAAAAAATATTTTATTTATTTACTTGAGAGAGAGTGAGAGCACTGAGGGAGAGGGAGAAGCAGACTCCTCGCTGAGCAGGGAGCCCGATGCAGGGCTTGATCCCAGGACCCTGGGATCATGACCTGAGCCGAAGGCAGATGCTTAACTGACTGAGCCACCCAGGCGCCCCTGGATTTTACTCTTATATGTGGCCAGTTCTCTGTGGCCAAAGAGCTCATCACCTTCTCCAGCCTGGGAGCCTCCCTACTCTTGATTCCTGCTGATTGTCCTTCTCCAAAAAAGTCTGTTAGTAGTCTACAAAGACTCATGATCTGTTCATTGAAACCCAAAGATAGTAATAGTCTTTTTTCTTTAATGTACTTGTTTCCTATCCGCACTGCAGCCCCTACTCACTTTTTTTTTTAAATAAATAATGCACATGTATTCAATAAGTGGGAGATGAATGTGATTCGGAATTCTCAAATGTGTGGCATGAACAGTCAATTATAGACAAAGTGTCCCTCCCTTTAAGAGGACTACAATCAGAACTGTTTTTCCTAAAAATTGAGTTTATAAGCCACTTACTTTATTGTAATAAAAATATCTGAATATCTGAATTGCAACTATGTTTTATTGCTGTTAGATTTAGACCACAATTAAGTGTAAATTTACCTCTGATATGTTCGCCAATGAGCTGTAAATTAACTTTCACATTCTTAGCAGTCGGATCAAATTCACAAATATTCTCGACTAAGTAACTCTTAACATACTGTGAACGAAAGAACAAAAGTTATGGGAGCACCAGCAAGTAGAAAGAGAGCACCCCCAATTCACCAGTTTACAGAATTCCATGTATGTAAATTTTAAAACAGGCAAAACCAGTCTATGGTGTTAGAAGTCAGGATTCTGGTCTGGTCACTCTGGGGTGAGTGTGTGTGTGTGTGCGTGTGCATGTGTGTGTGTGTGAGGCGGGTGAGGGGAGAGGGTACAAAGGAAGGCTTTTGGGATGCCGCTGATGTTGTTTCTTGATGTAGATGCTGGTTACAAATGTTCATATCATACAAATTCTTGCATTTGTACATTTAGGATTTGTGCGATCATGATTGGTATACCTAAACTTGTGTGGGTTATTCTTCGATAAAAAGACTACTTAAAAACAAAACAAAACAACTTACCAGTTTACACTTTTCCCAGTTTCTGAAGTCACCTGATAATTCCAACTCTGGATGAATGAACAAGATCACCCCTATCAGGATGTCATGTACGAGCTTTGTGTTGGCTTCCAGCTCCTGGGACTTGCTATCTGACGGAGATGTGAACTCTGGTGGAAGATTATAATCATAGAGCAACAGTGATACGAAGTCTAGGGCGGTAAGCAGCCGGAGGCTTTCTTGCAGTTCTTGCAGCATAATTCGGAAAAAGAGAACTCCTGCCCGCTGGACTTCTCCTACATTTTCAATCTCTGAAACAACAGAGTGACACCTCACACTGTTGTTTAGTACATACAGTAGTTTTTCATAGCACTCTGAGCATAATACAGTAAACTTCTTTTTTCCAGGAAAAAGAAGACCATATCCTATGGTTCTAAACAATCTTAGTTTCTCTAGTGATGAAATCAAAACACAGAAATGGAATTACACCTGGTGAAGCTCACAGGAAGAGGCTTTGAGGAAAGGTAAAAACTCAGGTTTGGTGGTTGGACCTTAGTTTGAATGCTTACTCTCCCCCTTATTAGTTTTGTCTCTCTGAACCCCCTTTTCCTGTCTGTGAGCATGGGGTTGATCCCTATTTCCCTGGTGGCCTGTGGGAATTAAATGAGATGATATATGTAAAAGCGTTTAGTGGATAAGTACAGAGTGGATGCTCAAAAGACCAGAAGACATGCATTTTCTTCTTTTTTCTACTTAGCCCACCCTATCTAATGGCAAGAAACCTCTCAGATTAATCCCACACAACATTACTCTATTTACTCCATTCTAGGTAGCCAGAGGTTTCCATGCTTCCTTCCTTCCTCCCTGAGGCCCAAACTGGTTCTGTGCTAAGAGTAGCCTAGTGGGTGTGGAATCACAAGCCCTAGGGTCTAGTCTTGGGTCTGCCACTAGCTTGCAAACGGACTGTTACTCTGATGGGTGGGCGTTAGCTTATCTGTAAAACAGAATGTTCCATCGAATTAATACTGTGTAAGATAGTGGGCAGAGCACCCAAAGTGGGGTGCGAATCCAGGCTTCCCCACTTATTAACTGTGTGATTTGGTGCAAGTTGTTTTGTTTCTCTGAACTTTACTTTCCTCTCCTGTAAAATGAGTTATCACCATTCACCTGAGAGTTATTGGTAAGGACTAATGGAAATTACATATGTAAAGTGCTTGCTCCATGATGGGGCATTTAATAAATGCTAGTTCTACTTTGCCTTTCTGAGTCCTTCCAGTTCGAAACCATATGATTCCAGCCAAGAAAATGAGCTTTCATACCCTTTGCTCTAATTTATAGACCATACTCATCAGCCCAAGGCTGCATGCAGCCCAAGAATTCTTTCACGTAGAAAGAAATATTGTAACTATTCCTTTTAGGAAATGTATTGCACTCTGTGATTCCCTCCACATGTATTAAACCCAGGAATTCAGATTGTTTCCCCATTCACAATACCTAGGACATAGTTTTTCTTTATTTCTCCAGATAATTCGCCCAGTATTTCGTAGCAGGCAGCTTGGACCACCTTCATCATTTTCTGTAGATCTTTAAATTCTCGATACAGTAACATTTTACTCCTGCCAATGTTAAAATCAAGAATTCCCAGGGCTTTTCCTGTTCTCTCACGGAGTGGAATTATGATGTGGTTTTCTCCACAGACAGAGGCCAGAACAACCTCCGAACTGTCTGTACACTTGAAGAGGAAGTCTCTGAAACCCAAACCAAACAAGCCTAAGATCATACAACATCAGCCTGCTCATAACACTCCAGCCAAATGTACCGAGTTGCTCTCTTTTGTGCCCACTGCGCCCCCACCCCCCCCAACCAGCCCTGATTTTATCTGCTGGGATCGCACACAGCTCTGTCCCTCTCAGCTGGCTCGTCAGATGGAGAAGCCTCCTCTGACCAAGCAGCCTGAAGTCACTCTCCATCACGCGGCTCTGCTCTGCTGTCTTTGCTAGACGTATACTCATCTGAAGGTATTTGGGTTTTGTTTACATCCTGTCCAGTAAGTGGGGGTTGAATGGCAGAAGGAATGAGGAGTTTATTAGGTCAGGTTCCCTAGAAGTGGAGCCAGAGCCCGGCATGCTTATGCAGAGGATTGATTGAGGGAGTGCTTTCTGGAGAAACCTGTAAAGGTCTGAGGAAAGTACAATAGGCAAGGAGAGGCTAATTAAGGACATGAAGGCTAATTTGCCAGGATGTGGTTGGAACTGGAGGGTATGATCCTGAGCGAAATAAGTCAGTCAGAGAAAGACAATTATCATATGATCTCACTCATATGTGGAATTTAAGAAACAAAACAGAGGAGCATAGGGGAAGGGAGGGGGAAAATAAAACAAGACGAAATCAGAGAGGGAGACAAACCATAAGAGACTCTTAATCATAGCAAACAAACTGAGGGTTGCTGGAGGGGTGGGGGGTGAGGGGATGGGATAACTGGGTGATGGACATTAAGGGGGGCACGTGATGTAATGAGCACTGGGTATTATATAAGACTGATGAATCATTGACCTCTACCTCTGAAACCAATAATACACTATATGTTAATTAATTTAATTTAATTTAAATTAAATTAAAAAAAGAATGTGAAGGCTAGGGTCACCTGGGTGGCTCAGTTGGTTAAACGTCCAACTCTTTTTTTTTTAAGATTTTATTTATTTGTCAGAGGGAGAGAGCACACAAGCAGGCGAGCCGCAGGCAGAGGGAGAGGGAGAAGCAGGCTCCCAGCTGAGCAAGGAGCCTGATGGAAGACTCGATCCTGCGACCCTAGGATCATGACTTGAGCTGAAGGCAGACGCTTAATGCTTAATTGTTTAATCGACTAAACCACCCAGGTGTCCCTAAGCGTCCAACTCTGGATTTCAGCTCAGGTCAAGATCTCAGGGTCCTGAAATGCTGCCCCACCTCAGGACCGGCGCTCAGGGCGGAATCAGCTAGAGATTCTCTCTGCCCCTCCCCTCGCTCATGCTCGCTTTCTCTCTCAATAAAATAAGATAAAAAATAAAAAAAAAAGAATGTGAAGGCTAGCCTCAGTCTCCTCTCAAGGGGAGCTCTGGAAGGCAAACTGAGCCAAAGAATTTGCCCCACCTTGAGGCAAGGGAGAGGTCTTTTATCAGTCATTGGCTCTAAGATGCTTTGGGTGTCTGTTTACATAACTGTGAGGCACACCTAGTGAGGGGCTCCCATCAGTCAAGGACTCTCCTCTAGAGAAAGTTCCAGTGTACCTGAAGCGGCCTGGCAAGAGCTATATTAGGGACCTGGTAGGGCATCAGCAGCACTGCTTCCTCAAGGGGACAGAGATTCTCATTGAAATGTAGTAGCCAGGGACGCCTGGGTGGCTCAGTTGGTTAAGCGACTGCCTTCGGCTCAGGTCATGATCCTGGAGTCCCGGGATCGAGTCCCGCATCGGGCTCCCTGCTCGGCAGGGAGTCTGCTTTGCCCTCTGACCCTATCCCCTCTCATGTGTTCTCTCTCATTCTCTCTCTCTCAAAATAAATAAATAAAATCTTAAAAAAAAAAAAAAAGAAATGTAGTAGCTGCTTCTCTCTAGTGAGGTATAGACACATCCTTTCCCCCCCCTTTCCTCCTTCCCAATCTTTTAAACTTTTTTAAAGATTTTATTTATTTGAGAGAGAGAGAAAGCACAGAGGCAGAGGGAGAAGCAGGCTCCCCGCTGAGCAGGGAGCCCGATGTGGGGCTCAATCCCAGGACCCTGAGATCATGACCTGAGCCGAAGGCAGATGCTTAACCCACTGAGCCACCCAGGCGCCCTCTCCCTTCCCAATCTACATTGATATTAAGATGTTATTCTTCTGAGGTATTTGAGAAATGTTGGTGCTTTGCATAGCCTCAAAAAGCACATTTATGGTTCATAATAGCAATCCTATAATGCCAGGTAAGATTATGTCCTTTTTTCTTTTTTGCTGTTCCCGCCCCTCCCTGCTGCACTGCCCAGCCTACACTTTGTGTCTGAATGATAACCACAGTAATGATGTGTCACCCTAAACTTTCTAGGCATAACCATAAAGCTGATTGGTCAACTAAATTCCTCTAAAAGGCACCTGTTCTAAGTTACACAGAGGAATCAAAGGTTATGAGCCTGGGTGTTACAAGGACGCTCATAAAACTCTTGACTGGTGCAAGGAATAACTATGTGGGAAAGAGCTTAAACCTGAATGAACAGGGGCACCTGGGTGGCTCAGTTGGTTAAGCGACTGCCTTCGGCTCGGGTCATGATCCTGGAGTCCCGGGATCGAGTCCCGCATCGGGCTCCCTGCTCGGCAGGGAGTCTGCTTCTCCCTCTGACCCTCCCCCCTCTCATGCTCTCTCTATCTCATTCTCTCTCTCAAATAAAATAAATAAAATCTTAAAAAAAAAAAAACCCTGAATGAATATTCAGGTATGAGGCCAAACTAAAATTTAATTAACACATGTACTTAAATGTCAAATTAGCCTCCTGGACTGAGCGAGGTTACTGCCTACTCAGCTGCACTGACCTCTAACAAGCAGCCTGTCCCTTTTGCAATGTGTGTGTCCATCATTAAGATCTGTTTTACATCTGTCCACAGTTGGGGGGTGGTCCTTGCATCCCACAGGTGAAAGGCATTCAAAGTACTCTCTACTGGGTACTTATTAAAGACCATATCCTCTGCTTCCTCCCCACCTCTGCCCAGCCTGTCTTCTTTAAATAAAAAGTACACGTTCACTGGCCGGTTAACACTAAGATGATGAGCTCTGATAAGTGACGTGGATGTATTTTTTCACAATCCTGGTGGGTTTTTGTTGAATTCCATGTTTACAAGAAAATCATAGAAAATAAAACACTATCATGCTTAAAAACGTGCAATATAAAATGCCAATGAAACCTGTTTTAAAAAGGACTTGAAGGGGAAGGGAATTAACCTGTCGCACGCAGACAGGAATTTTTCTTAAAAAAAAAACCCAATTAGAATAGGATTCAGGTGTATACTAATAAAAGGCAAAAGCCGTGTCTCTCTACTACTACTATTGAGCTACTAATGCACAAGGGGAATGTGTTTTGGCAGTCAAACAACACAGACATGAAGATGCATCTCATACCTGAAGATGCATGTCTTCCTGAAAATTGTAGGGGGGTTCTTGTGGATTTCTGTTAGACCCAGGTGCCCGGTAACCATCATATTGCGTAAAACATAGTCTGAATCCTTGAAAAGAGGAAGAGATTTCAACACTGAGAGGAATGATTAGACCTCATTTTCCCATTAAAGGTTTTGGGAACAGAAAAATAGGGAAAAAATTAGGAAAGTTTAGATCTCTAGCTTGAAGTACCGGGACATTTTACTTACTCAGTACCATTAAGAATGAGGTATTCACGAGGGAAAGATTCAAATTATCAACATTCTTTTAAATGCACAAACTTATTTTTTATAATTGTGATAAAACTATATGTTTATATTACTTTTTGATGTGAAACATGCATTATAGAACATTGGGAAAATACAGAAAAGTCCAAGGAAAGTAAGAACAGTAAAAAATATTCTCCCATGAGGTCTTTGTCTACACCATCTCATCAAAACTATTTTGGTTAAGGTTACTAGTGACTCTCTTATTGTGAAATCCACTGATCAAACCCTAATCATCATCTTCCACTATAGCAGCATTTGACTCAGTGAACAATTTCCTTCTTGACATATTTTATTCACTTGGCTTTTGGGACACCACTCTCTCCTGGTTCTCCTATGAATCACTTTTATATTTATTGCTGCCCCTTTGTCTTCCTCACCTCTAAGAGGTTTCGAACTATAGGTCATAACCTAACTATCGGTTGTGAAAATATTTTAATGCCCTTTTTTTGTTTTTTTGTTTTTAGAGAGAGTGTGTGTGCAAGTGGGGGGGCATAAGGAGAAGGAGAGAGAGAATCTTAAGCAGCCCCCCTCTATCGAGGGGCTCCATCTCACAACCCTGAGATCATGACCTGATTCGAAATCAAGAGTTGCATGCTTAAGTGACTAAGTCACCCAGACACCCCATTTTAGTGCCTTTTAAAAACAGCTTTATTGAAGTATCACTGATACACAAAAAACTGCACATATTTGATGTATACAATTTGATGAGTTTGGAATGAGTCTTGACCAACTTTTTTTTTTTTGTAGAGATTATAAGAAAGTAAGATTAACATATCCTGTAAAATATACTAAACTGTAGGAAAGACATTCAATTGGAAGAATAAAAAGGGGTTTTTAAAATTATTATTTGACAAAGATAGAAAGAGCACAAGCAGGGGGAGCAGCAGAGGGAGAAGAAGGCTCCCCGCTGAGCAGGGAGCCCGATGTGGGACTCGATCCCAGGACCCCGGGATCATGACCTGAGCCGAAGGCAGACACTTAACTGACTGAGCCACCCAGGTGCCTCTGAAAAGGGGTTTTTATGTCCACCTTTAAAAAATTCTTTGATTAAAAGGGAAACTGTGATAACAGGATCCATAGGGACTGCATGATGAATGGTGCTTTGGGGAACAACGGGTTTATAGTGTGGAGCTTCCTCTTGTCATGACCTCAAGTGTTCACCCAAACTGTTTAGATGAAAAATGTTCTCAACAGAGAATCTGGAAAGATTCTCTGATGTTGGCAACTGAGCATCTAGCTTTTCCTAATTTATTTCTTCCATGGTTTGTTATTTGGTGTTATATATACTAGACTAATAGGATTTTTTAGAATCTCACTGTGACTATGTTCCTAGGTTTAAATCTTTAGTTCAAACTAAACAATTCCTCTCCTGTTTCCACCTCTTCCCCCCAAACTGTGTCAATTCGGCCACTTCTGTTAAGACTGGAAACATAATATAGAAAATAAGGGCTTCATAAAGAATATGCCTCATAATAAGCTTTTCATTTAATTTTACTTGGACCAAGGAACTATAAATTCAGCAAGTGCCTCACTAATTATTCAGTAGTGAGATAACTCTAGTCAAAAATTTCTAGGAAACTGTTTAGAGAAAAGAGCTGCAATGATATTATCCCCCATTTTCTTTCTTCTGCTACTGGCTTGTTATTTTTTCCCCCCTTACTCTTCCAATACAGGTTTTCCCTGCTATCTGAAAGTGGAACGTTCCTATGAAAACTTTCATGAGCTAAAACAGTGTAAAGTGAAGAAGCAATTACTATTAATTTATACAGAAACATTTTTGAGCATTCCTGGACCCCCAAAATAACCTCTCTTAGGCTTTTCTGATGCTTTAGAACACATCTTGCTAACGGATACAGAAAATAAATTGAGATAAAGCACAGATGCTCATGGACGCTATTCAAAGTGGTGACGGCTTGATGTTGAGGTGCTGAGTGCAGTTGGGGGGGTGGGGAGAGCCTGATGGCGCCACTCTTGCGGCTCTGGGGGCTCCCTGCAAAACAAACACCGAACACTATTTCCACTTTTTGCCTTTTTTCATAAAAGCAAAAATTCTCATTGGATTTCTGTCAGGCAGCAAAAACAGGTGACCAATGAGGGTCTTTTGTAAAAGAGAAGGGGCCTAACATGAACTTTTGGCAAGTGGGTATACTAACATCTATTCATTCTCACCTTCTGCATTACACGTTATTTTGTATTTATCCTCTTTTGCTTTTTTCTCTTTTGACAAACATTTTTTTAAAAAGAATGAAATAAAATAGAAGAGAAAATATCAAGAAACGTCACATAGTAAAAGTAGGTATTCTTTTGTGAAACTTCTATTTTAAGTGGGCGTGTGTGCGTGTGTATGTGTGTGTTTGTCAGGGGTCAGGATACAAAATGTTTTTCATACAATAGGTCAAAGTAAATATAATTTTGAGCCACAATGATTCCAAACATTTAGATAACCTCAGGGCTTGGACCTCAGATTTTTTCTATCCTCATTCATTCCCTTGGTTATTCCATCTAGTCTCATGGTTTTTGTTTTGTTTTTGGTTATTATGGTAAAATACACATAGCATAATATTATCACTTCAACCATTCAAAAGTATACAATTTGGTGGCATGAAACACATTCACAATGTTGTATAACCCAGCCTCATGGTTTTGTTTTTTTTTAAGATTTTATTTATTTATTTGTCAGACAGACAGAGAGAGAACACACAAGCAGGGGAAGTGGCAGGCAGAGGGAGAAGCAGGCTCCCCACTGAGTAAGGAGCCCGATGCGGGGCTCGATCCCAGGACTCCGGGATCATGACCTGAGCCGAAGGCAGACGCTTAACTGACTGAGCCACCCAGGCACCCTTCATGGTTTTAAATACCATTTATTTGCTAGGCTGGATTTCTCCCCAAACACTAGTTCATATATTCAACTGCCTATTTACTAGCTCCACTTAAGAGTCTAAAAGGCATTTCAAATTATAATTAAAAAAATCTTTTTCAATTTAGTAGGTAAAAGTTAACTTTTACTTAACTTTGTATTTATTTCATTATAAGAATGGAACATTTTTTTTCCATGTTTATTGAGCATGCATTTAAAAATTTTTTTTTAAAGATTTTACTTATTTATTTGAGAGAGAGAGAGCGAGAGAGCAAGCATGAGTCGTGGGGAGGGGCAGAGGGAGAAGAAGCAGACACCCCGCCGCGCAGACTCCCTCCCGAGCCCAACATGGGGCTCCATCCCAGGACCCTGAGATCATGACCTGACCTGAAGGCAGATGCTCAACCGACAGAGCCACCCAGGCGCAGCCCCCCATTTTTTTTTTTTTTTGGTAGATTTTTTTTGCTTATTTTTCTTTTGGATTTTTTTTTTTTAATCTTACTGATCTGTGTAGAACAGTATTAACCCTTTGCTAAATATGTGGCCATTTCCCCCCACTTTATTTAAAACAACTTATTTTGTCTATAATTTTGGTGCACGGAAGTTCTACCTTATTATGTCATCAATGTAGCAACCTTGCTTGAATTGTTTCGAACTGTGGTGTAGGTTTAGCCTTTCTTCCCTAGATCAAGACTGTAACATTTCCTCTCATCCCTCATTTTCTCAGCTATGCTCACACATTTATTCTTCCTCCAGATGGAAATTAAAATCATTTGGTCAATTTAAAAAATCATTTTGGGATTTTTCTTGGAATTTTGTGAAATTTATAAATAATTCTTGGAAGAAATTATATTTTTAAAAAGTGGTGTTCTTGTCAAAAAAAATCATATGATTTTCTGTTTTATTAAAAAAACTTAGGTTCCTTAGGTTCCTTAGTTTCCTTGTAGTTTGTTTCATGTAGAATCTAAAGGTGACACAGGGTGAAGTGGGGAGAACATCCTGGGCAGAGTAACAGCATTTTTGAAACTGAAGTAGAAAAAAATTACTTTTTATCATGTATGATGAGCTGTGAAACATTACTTGTGGTATCGTTTTTTTCTTCCTCCTGATAGTCTCTTCCCCCTTCCCTCTCATTCACGCAGAAAGTCTGTACTGCCTTAGAAAAGAAATGTGATGAGGTAGAAGGCAGCAATCACTGACTAATCTCTGGCATTTGCTTTTTCAAGAGCCTACTGATATGACTTCAGAAAACAAACTGGGCACACACATTTACCATTTGTCCCTCTCAAGTCCTCAGGGAAATAAGGGACTGAGGTCTTGGTTTCCCTGGTGGCTGTTAGCTGGGGACTGCCCTTAGCTCCCAGAGACCCCAGTCTTTGTACATAGCCCTGAGCATCTCAGAACCAGCAACAGGTGGCCCGTCCTTTCCCCCATCCCTGACATCCCTGGTTCTTCTTCCAACCTCCCATCTCTCAGGGACCACAGCCAGACAAGGTTCTGTGCTTTTAAGAACTTCGGTGGTTACATTGGGACCACCTGGGTAATCCAGGATAATTTCTCTATCTCGGGTGCCTGGTGGTCCTGGGATCAAGCCCCACATCGGGCTCTGCACTCAGCGGGGAGTCTGCTTCAGAATGCTCTGTCCCTCCCCTTACCCTCACACGTGCTCTCTCTCTCTCAAATAAATAAATGAATCTGAAGAAAATTAAATAAGTAAAATTAAGTGTGAAAAAAAAGAGAGGCAAACCGAGAAATAGACTCTTAACTATAGAGAACAAACTGATGGTTACTGGAGGGGAGGTGGGTCATTGGGGGTTGGGAGAGCATGCAGAATGGGCTAAACAGGTGATGGATAGTAAGGAGGGCACTTGTGATGAGCACCAGGTGTTGTATATATAAGTGAGGCATCACTAAATTCTACACCTGAAACTAATACTGCACTGTATGTTAGCTAGCTGGAATTTAAATAAAACCTTGGGGGGCGGAAAAGTGTAAAGAAGCAAAATAAACATTTGGTGAAAACTCATTACATTATAGCTAGGCCTTTTTTAACTGGTGTGATGTAATTATGTCCTTCCAAACAGCAGTTCCTCATCCCTTCCCACTTCACCCATATGACTCTGGTGGGGGCTGCCAGTTAGTGTAAACTCCTCCATCCCCACCCCCAGCTGGGGGGCATATCTCAGGATAGACTAAAAAGAGCTCTCTTGGGTTTTCCAAATTGAAACAAGAAGGAAAGATTCTTTTTTAGTTGCTAAGCATCTGGCTTGCCATGGGGAGAAAGCCTATCTTAAGCTAGAAGGACCAAACCCAAAGTGTAGAGGGAGGCAGACATGAGGACTGCAGAGAGAAAGAACACCAGAGAGCCTGATGGTACTGAATTCCTGGTACTGGTCATCCTGGAAGCCAGACTGACTCCCGTCCTTGCTTTATTTTGGTCACATGAGTCAATCAATTCCCTTTTATGCCTAAGGCAGTTTGAGATGGACTTTTGCCACTCACAACCAATGCTCTTGAGTTGGGATTATGGGAAATATGTCCCCAGTTGGCCTAATAGCTAACTAATTATGGTTTTAAAATATTAGCAAGACACGGGTACCTGGGTGGCTCAGTTGATCAAGCATCTGCCTTTGGCTCAGGTCATGATCTCAGGGTCCTGGGATCGAGTCCCACTTCAGGCTACCTCCTCAGTGGGGTGTCTGCTTCTCCCTCTCCCTCTGTGCTCTCCCTCTTTTCCTCTCTCTCTCTCTCTCTCAAATAAATAAATAAATAAATAAATAAATAAATAAATAAATAAATAAATAAATAAAATCTTTTAAAAAATATTAGCAAGACAATAATATCTAGAAACTCTGTTAGAGGTCTAACACTGCCCAACCTTGCCTACCCGCGTTGGGCCGGGCTCAACAAAGTACGTCGTAATGGTGGTGATGTCAGATGTGATATCACAGAGCCAGCCAATGCCCCTGATCACAACATGCAGGATGTGCTCCCTGCTGTGCACATAGTGATAGGCAGTGCTGAAGACGTTGGCGACACCCTGTAGAGACAGAACATTTTCATTGTCTTTTCGTTTTAAAATAACAAAATCATTAATGCGTCAATTGGATTAACTTATAAAATTAATGATAATCTACTTCCGACAAATTACCTGTCAGTTCCCAAAAGGCAGTGTTCCAGATCCTACTACGCAAAAAAGATCTCAAGAAATCAAAGGTTTAAGGAGAGATCTACTAGAAGATCCACGTAACTTATTACGTTTCCTGATAATCATCCAGGGAAATCTGTGATATGTACTGTCAGAGAACAGAGTCAGAAGAATAAGGTGAAGTTTGAGATGAGGGAAAATATTTACAAGCCAAGAACCAGTGTCAACCTTGGGCAGATGGGTAGGAGCTGCCCTGATATGACACAATATGAATGTCTGGATCGTTATGTGGCTTCTGTCATCAGATCAGTAGTACAGGTTGTGCTCCGTTCCAAGGTCTGCAACATGCTAGATTACACAGTCTTCTCCTAGACCTAAAGAGAGCCTGTTCCACAGAGAAGGGATAGGAAGTCCTTAGAACCCATCTGTCGTCTTATTGTCAAGAGACTCCAGGATTTCCTCCCATTCAGTTTTCCCTCCCTTCCTCTGTGGTCCTCCACACGATTCCTCATGTTCCACATATGAGGGAAACCATATGACTATTGTCTTTCTCTGCTTGACTTATAATAATAATAATTAAAAAAGAGACTCTAGAAACCACAAATTCTTCAAAACTATGCGAATTTCATAATAGGACCCAAGGCATCTCAGGATAACCCAGGAGCCTTTTACCTCCAGGGGCTAGAGAGTCAATTTTTTCTTTCTTTCACACATAATACTTTATTTTCACAATGTTACTTCATCCTTGGCATGAAATGAAATAAAGTCCCAAACATAAATTGTCACCTATATTGACCTAGAGATCAACGTCACTCCTGAACAGTTCTCGGTATTACATGGAAAGCACACGTGTTGACTCCTTACTCTGTGTCAGAGGCACTGTATCAGTTGTTAAGGGATACAACACGCCTACCCTGTACTTGGGAGAGCAGCAATGGTGTGTCCCAGGAGCTAAGGGACACTGTGAGCCCAGGCAGTGTTAGAGAGTCGGTTTAAAAATCATTTTGACATGTTCTCTGACAAGACCATCTGTAATTCACCTACTGATAACTCCATTCTCCTCCATCTTCTTTTTAATATCTTCACATCATCCTTTATGCCAGATGAGAGTGAATCATATTTTTAAAAAGATGTCCAGAGAAAAAGGTTCTACCACTTTCCTTAATTATACATCCAGTAAATAGGAAGAGAAATTTTTATTTATTTATTTTTAAAGATTTTATTTGAGAGAGAGAAAGCACAAGTGGGGAGAGGGGCAGAGGGAGAAGGAGAAAATCTCAAGCAGACTCCACGCTGAGCCTGACATGGGGCTCGATCCCATGACCCCAAGATCATGACCTGAGGCGTCCCAGGAAGAGAAAATTTTAAATCCTGGTAAATAGACATAAAGAGCCAGGGGCTTAGAGGGGAACAAGTGATAAAAGCATAGCAAGCTCCTGATTGCTGCTACATCTCAGGCCATCGCCTCCATAAAGGCTTTCAATCTTCCTTCATTGCAATTTCTATTCATAAAACCAAATTAAAATGCTTGTAGAAATGGTCATTATCGTCTTAAAAGTGCCTTTTTTTGTGATCTAATTTGAAAACATGCATACTCAAGACACATTTAGGCTTTTTCCTTCATTCTTCATCCTCAAAAATCATAGCACTGAAACCAAGAGCCATGGGAATGCATTTGTGGAAAGAGTAAAAAATTTATAGGTTCCCCTATTAATAAAACATAAATGTGTCCCTTCTCAAGCTTCATTCCTATTTTGTGGGTCTCAATTAGTAGTCTAATGGTTGGATTTCAGTTCTACAGCATAAAATGCTGCTCCTATGATTAGGGCAATGGGACACATATTAACAATCTCCCCAGAGAGACTGAGGCATAGATGTGCACCTGAGGCTGAGTCCTTCCATGTGTAATGAGGAACCTCTCCAAAGACTGTTAGATACAGTGAACAGGAACAGGTAGGATGACACTATCTATATATACAGGTTTACTCTCATCTGGTTTTAGGTTTTGCTTTTTAAAAAGTATGGAAGGAGGGTGCCTGGGTGGCTCAGTCATTAAGCGTCTGCCTTCGGTTCAGGTCATGATCCCAGGGTCCTGGGATCGAGTCCCACATTGGGCTCCCTGCTCTGCAGGAAGCCTGCTTCTCCCTCTCCCACTCCCCCTGCTTGTGTTCCTGCTCTTGCTCTCTCTCTCTCTGTCAAATAAATAAATAAAATCTTAAAAAATAAAATAAAATAAATAAAAAGTATGGAAGGAGAGGCAATCCTACCATTGCTTTTGAAGAATTCCTCCATGACTTACCTGATAGAATCTGATCTCATGAGGTACAAAGATATTTATTTTTTTGGGATCTCTTAGGGTGTCAACAGCCATGACCCCAAAGATCCTCATATATGCATCCTGAAGAGGCAGAGCCAGGAATGACCCGTTTTGATCATTCTTCTTGAGGGAATGGTTCCAGAAAAAGATGTTCCCGTGGTGTTGAACTTGGGGCACGTGTATTGGCTTTCCTTCATCCACTACTGTGAAGCTGAGGAATAGGAATATGAAGATGGTAGAAAGGCCCAGGAGAAGGCTTTAGATGAAACTGTGCAGGAAATTAAATAAATTCTCCATTCATAATTATTGGGATTATATGTCAAAGAAGTGGACTCATGAAATTACAGTTGGAGAGTCTGACTTGAGAAAAAGTTTTAAAAAAACAAGCTTAGATCATAACAGGGTAAACATATATAAACAGGATGCCGGAGACATAACTTATAAAGCAGGCAGAAATAATTGAGCTGATATTGTGAAGCAGAGTCCAAACATGGCAAATCAATGCCTAGGAGGGAGCTCTAGGAATGACCAGGGCAATTATTCAAGACTAGAAACCAATCACCTCCCACTCCAGAAGCATTGGTGACTTGAGGCATTTCTCTCTTGGGCACCTAACTAGGATTTCAATACTAGTTTACTTCAGAAAGGGAATTATTTTTTTTTAGAAGGGTAAAACCAACCTCCTCAAGAAATTCTTACCTGATTCCCTTCATGTCCCTGTAGAGCACTCGGTTCAGTACAAATGGAGCATCATCTAAAGTACAAGCTATGTTCCTCAATAGAACTTCCCCTCTATCAGGCAGTAGTAGGTTCTCTTCTAAGAGGGAAATGTGAGCACTGATCTTCTTATTCCCATGGGCTTCAGCATCCTATGGCAAAATATTTCTGACCATGTATTTGCCAATAGCCAAAGAGCTATTACTTTAATCATGTCTCCCTTCATTAGCCTGTTTGAGCATCTGATCCCAATAATTAGCATTCATGGGCAGTGGGAAAAAGGCTGACCTCACAGCTATCTCCCAAATCTGAGTTTTTGTATGTTTTTTTTGTTGTTGTTACATAAATTAACCCATTTATTATAGGCTAGCAATGTTTCAGATGGTGAAGCTTCTACTGGTCTTTCAACTCCTTCAGTCTTCTGATGGCAGACTTTACTGTGACGGCAGAAGTGGTGTTGTAGGTCCAAGCGCCACCAGCAACGGTTTTCATGCAGGAGCCACAATGCCAGATCCCCACAGCTCATCTTTTCATCTTGGTTTTGCCACAGAAGGGGCAAGTGTACTTGGCGTGCTGGCTTATTTCAATCTTCTTCACCATTTTCCCGAGGGAGGCACCATAACGGGTCCCATATTTCCCCACAATTCCGACCTTCTTGGTGCATTTAGCCATGTCGCCGCAAACTAGGTCTTCCCAGATCTGAGTTTTAATGAGTGGAATCGATTTACTTTATGTCAATTAAACTGGTTTACTTAAAAAAAAAATCTCTCATCTTACTCAAATTTAGAGGTTTAAAACTTGGATCCCTTTAAACTATAGTCATATTGTCTGGGCTTCACTTAAAAGTATTTATTTTAGAGGGCGAGGGTAAGAATATGGCTTCATTTCACTCATATTTCTTGAGTAGATTTTCACCATCTTCTGTGGAGTGAATGTAGAAAAAAATGCTCTCAAGGAATTCTTAACATAGTTTGGCTATGATATTTGATTTATGTCAGGAAAAAATTTCTTGGGGCCCCAGAATGCAGACTTTATGCAACTACTCTTTCTAATTAAAATAACTGAAAATTCTCTGTACCTAAAATATTATGATGTCATTAACCAGTACTATGATAATAGTATGTCCATAAGTTGGGGACATGAAAGACGCTTTCCTTGATCTTTGTCTCCTCTTTCTATATACTTAGGTTTGCTTTTCATGTTTTTTTTTCTTCTGCCTTTATTCTTTCTTTTTGACATAAAAGATCTATAGAGTAACTAACAAAAATGTACCACAGATCTCTGAAGCAAGTTGGAGTGATATCTCTTTTTCTAGATGAGTCTTCTGTTTCTGGTCACACCATTTCAATCTATACTGGAAAATTCAGCCACTCAGTAAATAAGTCCTTTAATTAAGTGTTGCAATTTAACTGAGATGAGTGATTCCAGGGTTCCCGGACTAGTGGAGTCTGTGACATATATAGGAGACAGCCATGCTATTTCTGCCTGGGAGGAGCAACCAGCTGGGAGTCTTGAAGAGTATGGCAAAGCTGTGGGCAGCGGTCCCATCAAAGGCATGTGTTTTAAGTGGCACGATTCTATAATAGTATCAGTGTGTTTCTAGGCAGTGCTATGAAATATTGTGTGATGTTGGATCCTCCTTTATAATGACTTTATGATTTAAATAGTTCCTTTTGAAACCGACTCCCAAAACATCATGCAAGGGAAATGTGGCTTGAAGTGCCTGCACATTTCCTTACTGGTATTTTTCAATATTAGTCTATTTTCTTCCTTAAGCTTATTTGACTCTCAGCACAAATGGAATTAGAAATCGCAAGACATGATTCTGTCTTTTATACCTTTCCTCTCTACTTCTACCTTCCCAACCTACAATCATTCCAGCTGCATCTTTCCTAGGCTTTGGGTCATTGTAATGTTTGGGAATGAATAAAACATCTATAGCAGTACCCAGGGATTTTTCGAGAGAATTTCGTGTGCTCCCCCTTTGCAACCATTGAACATCACCTACTATGAGGACATTTTTCCTTTTATATATCACCTTAGAAAAACCTACCTGGGTGAGGGCATTAAAGGTCTCCGTGTACACCGGCTCCAGGGACACCCCACTTGTCTCTGCAGCACGTTGGATTTGGTACAGCCATTTCCGTCTGGCACAATTCCTCAGATTCTCAATATGGCTCCTTTCTAAAGTATTCATCAGAAACTCCACAACACTTTCCAGAACATGATCTTCATTGCCCCTGAGTTCAGATACAACCAATTCTATGTATTTCTGAAACTGTTTTAAAGACAACCTCACTTCTTGGTCAGGGTGTGGCTTTGAAAATTGGATGTGTAGTTTAGCTAAAAGACATAAAACCAAGAACTAATCAAAAGTTCACTTATCTACTGGGGAAATTTTCATTCCCCTTTTATAGCTGACTGAAGCCCCTGACAACAGCCACCCATGGAAAACCGGGTATATCAAAGGCAACTCAAAGCCCAACAGAACACCTACAGTGACTTCCTGTATTGAGCTCAAGGTGTCCTGTGTCATCTTCCCTGTTTCTGTTTTGTTTTTTTTAATGTACTTTTATTTTTAATTAAAAAAAAATTTTTTTTCAGGGATTGAGAGAGAAAGAGGGAGGGGAGAGTGGGAGGAGGGGCAAAGAGAGAGGGAGCAAGAGAATCTTAAGCAGGCACCACGCCCAGCTGGACGTGGGGCTTGATCTCACAACCCTGAGATCATAACCTGAACCAAAATCAGGAGTTGGATGCTTAACCAACTGAGCCACCCAGGTGCCCCTCTGTTTTGTTTTTTTTAACTCTACCACACTCAGCTGGGGGAAACCCCAGGGTCAACTTTGACTCCTCCCTACTTTTTACCTTCCATGTCCAACAGGCCACTTAATCCTATCCTGTTAGCCTTTGGCAATATATCTTGTGGCCACTCCTCTCCATTCCTGTTTCCATAATCCCAAACCAGTATTAATCATTTTATACATAATTAGATTACCAAGAGTAAGGCTCAATACATATTTATAAAATTAAGACACGACTTGTGACAAAAAGCAGAATCAGACCTATGAATACAGAGAACAAACTGATGGTTGCAAGAGGGAAGGGGGGTAGGAGGATGGACAGAAAGGGTGAAGGGGAGTGGGAGATACAGACTTCTAGTTATACAATGAGTAAGTCACAGGAATAAAAGGCACAGCATAGGGAATATAATCAATGATATTGTATTGTACAGTATGGTGACAGATAGTGGCTGCCCTTGAGGTGAGCATAGCATAATGTATAGAGAAGCTGAACCGCTATGTTGTACACCCGAATTTAGCTGCTCCAGTATCTCTACTTGTGATCCTGACCATGCCTTGCACGCTTCTGCATCCATATCTCTTTTATTTTTTTTAATTGTACAATTACGAATGTGCTACCAAACCTGAACATTACCAATAACACATCTTCCTCCATGGCCTGACCTTGTTCCATCCCCTGCCTCCGACGCCCCCACCAATATCCTGAAATTTTGCTTTTGCTTCATCTTTCCCTTCCTTTTATTTTCCCAATAGTGTTATTCGTGTGTGTGTGTGTGTGTGTGTGTACTTCTAAACAGTATGTGGTTTAGTTCTGCCTACTTGTAAACTTCAGAGAAAGGACATCATACTATGTATAGTTTTCTGGGACTTACTTTTTTTATTCCACATCATGTTACCATATCCATCCATGTTGTTCCTCTAGCTGTGACTCATTCATTTCCACCACTATATAGTATGTCATTTTGTGAGCATACTGCCACGGATTTATTCTCCTGTCCGTGGGCATGCAGGTTGTCACCAGAGTTTACCCTTATGAGCAGTGCTGTGAGCATTTTTATACATGTCTCCTGGTGCACGTGTGTTAAGTTTCTTTGACACTTATTATAACTTATATATTATATATTATTATAAATAAGTCGTAGGGTATGTGCCCTTCTCGCTTAAATTTCAAATTTCAAAATCTCTCCTTCTTGAAGAAGGCTTCCACCACAATTTCTCCTTCCCTTGAAAGACAAGCAGCCATTCTGTATCAGCTATTTGACAACATATTGCGTGGTATGTTTAGTCATCTTATCAATGAAAGCTTCTCATTTTTATAGTTGGACTTTTGTTGATTATTGCTCTTTAGTATCCACTCATCTTTCTCCTGTTACTTGTATCCCAAATTTTGCTTTGGGGAAGCTACTCCACTTTCATCTCACTTTGTGTGTTTGAATGGGATTCCACTCGTGGCTTGAGAGATGCAGCATGCATCGTGGGCCTAAGCCAGTCAGGACATTCTGCTCCCACAGCCAGAGTGGTTGGTTGAGTCCAGACAAATGCCAGACTCTTTGCTTGGATTATTAGGAAGAGAACATTTTCCTTTTTATTCCCACTGGACTTGAATAAACCTGTGAGGATGTGAGACTGGACTTGGTCTCCACAGGGTAAAGGCTGTATGAAAATGGAGTCAAAACATAGAAAAGAGCAGGATCAGACTGAAAAAGACAAAAAGAAAGAAGCAGACACTTGTCCTAATGTCATTATTTGAACTCCCAAACCTAGCTGTGTCCTGAAATAGCCCTGGACTTTTCCATCATGTGAACTAATAAAGCCTTTTTTTGTTTAACCACTCTGGGCTGCGTTTTCTATTACTTGGACTCAAAGGGTCCTCAAGATATAGTCTTGAATTAAATTAAAAGTAACTTGTGGGTTCTTCCTCTTCTGTATCTTTTTCTTTTTCTCCTTTTATTCCTTCCCTTCTTGAACAATTAGGTCCTAAGCCATTGGTGGGGCAGGACAAGGTAAGCATCTGCTCCTGATCAAAGGAAGCCACGGTGGCCCAGAGCGGGGTATCCGAATCCAGTGGGGTAAGGAGGGCATTGATCAGGAAGTGACTTGGCATGGGTTGTCAGAGCCTGAGCAGGTGAAGATGTTATCCATGAAGACAGGCAATCTCCAGCCTATCTGAGTAGAGAGTGTGGCTCTGCAGAGGTTGTTTAGCCTGGGGTATCAGAACCTAAGCAGGAAGAAGAGGATATCCATATGCGGTATTTAGGCCTTTGCAGAGTGAGAAGGGCATCCAAATGGAGGGACAGCTTCACTTGAAGTCAGAACCTAAACAGTGAGAGGAGGGTATCCATGTGGAGAGACAGCCCGGCATGGGGAATCAGGGCCCAAGCAAAATGAAGAGGACTTCCAAGTAGGAGTTCAGCTCAGCATAAGGAATAAGAAGCCTGAGTAGATTGAGGAGAGCATCTACATGAAAAGATGCCTTGTCACAGAATGTCAGAACCTAAGGGATGTATGAAGGGCACTCACATGGAAGGGGGATCTGGTATGGGATGTCAGAGCCTGAGCAGAGTAAGGAGGGAAGCTGTGGGAAGGGAGATTAATACAGGATGTTGGAACTTAAGTGTAGTGAGAAGGAAAAGACATCAGTGTGGGGGAGAGGACAGTGGGGTGGGAGATTAGTTCCACACAGGGGGATTGATTAGATAGATGATAGATAGATAGATAGATAGATAGATAGATAGATAGATAGATAGATAAATACAAGCAAGAGAGAAGGGAGCTACAAAAAAGGGAGAAAACTAGAATGAACCCTGTTACTATTTTGGCCTGGAAAGTATGGGTGTGAACTTATTGTTTATACACACACACACACACACACACTCATACACACACTTCCCAAGAGAAACTTGGGAGCAGTGACCTGGGAGCAATAAGCATGTGTAGAACCAAGATCTTGGCCTCTAAATACCATTCCCCACTAAAAGAAACCGGGTTCCTTGGAGAAATGGGTGATGCCAGGGTGGGAGCAGGGAAAGTATAAGACGAATCTAGAAGATCTCATTGTGCAAAGCAAGGAGGTGCTCAGAGAATGATAGATACATGTTAAAAGGCCACAGGAAACATTCTGGCAGTTTCTTATATAACTAAAAATACACCTACCCTATAGCCCAGAAATCCTACTCCTGGGTATTAAAGATAAATAAAAACATATATCCACACAAAAGATTTGTACAAGATTGTTTATAGCATCTTTGTTCATAATAGTCAAGAACAGGCAACAGTCTAAGTGTCTATCAGTTGGAGAATGGACTAACAAACTGTAGTATATTCATATTAATGGAATACTATTCAGAGAAAAAAGAAGCAAATTGTTGATATGTGTAACAACATTTAAGAATCTCAAGAAAGAATATGCTGAGTGAAAGAAGCCTTACACAAAAGGGTACAAACGATTCCATAAATATGGATTAGAAGGGATAAAACATATCTATAGTGGAAAAGAACCAGAAGAGCGCTTGTCCTGGGGATTTGGTGATGGGGATTGCATAAGAAAAGGGCATGATGGAACTTTGTGTTCTATATCTTAATAGGGATATTGGATGCACAAGTTATGCTTTGCAAAAACTCAGTGAATGTACACTTAAAAATTGTATGGTTTGTTGTGTGTAATTTTACCTCAAAGGAAAAAAAACTTAACGCATATCAAAAACTAATGATGTACTGTATAGTGACTAACATAATAAAAAAATTATAAAAAAACACATCTTCTTTATCCATTCATCTGTCGATGGACATCTTGGCTCTTTCCATAGTTTGGCTATTGTGGACATTGCTGCTATAAACATTGGGGTGCACGTACCCCTTCGGATCCCTACATTTGTATCTTTGGGGTAAATACCCAGTAGTGCAACTGCTGGGTCATATGGTAGCTCTATTTTCAACTTTTTGAGGAACCTCCGTACTGTTTTCCAGAGTGGGTGCACCAGCTTGCATTCCCACCAAAAAACATATATCAAACTCTAAAGATATAGATGCTGAAGTGTTTAGAGAGGAGTGTATTGATGTCTGCAATTTATTTTGAAATGAATCAAAAACAAGAGAAATGGAAGGATAGAGGGATAAAGAGATGAATAAATAGATAATTTTTAAAAGTGTAGTAAAATGTTAATTGTCGAATCTAGGTGGTGGGTATATAGGTGCTCACTGTAAAACACTTTTAGCTTTTCAGTATGTTTGGAAAATTTTTAAAAGATTTTTGAGAGAGAGAGAGAGAGAGGGCACATGAGCGAGGGGAGGGGCATAGGGTAAGGGAGAGAATCTCAAGCAGACTCTGTGCAGACCCCGGCATGGGGCTCGATCTCACGACCCTGAGATTATGACCTGAGCTGAAAACAAGAGTCAGATGCTTAGCCAACTGAGCCACCCAGGTGCCCCTGATATTTTTCATAATAGAATATTGGAGGGAGGGGCACCTGGGTGGCTCAGTTGATTAAGCATCTGCCTTTGGCTCAGATCATGATCTCAGGGTCCTGGGACTGAGTCCCGCAT